GCATTAGGAAGGATGAGAACCGCTGCCTTAGATAATCCCAAATTAAGGGACATTCAACAAAATACCTGACTAGTGTATAAAATGCCTGACCACGTCAAAGTGTCAAGGTCATGGAGGCCAAGGAAAGGCTGAGAAATTACCACAAGGCCATGAAAGACAATGACAGACAGTGGGAGACATAACAACAAACTGAAATGTGGGATCCTGGAATGAAAACGAGACATCAGTGGCGCAAGGGGTAAAATTCAAGTAAGTTTGGTGGTTTAGTGAAGAGCACTGTACCAATGTTAGGTCCCGGTTGTGTTAACCAAACTACAATCCTATAAGGTGTTAACATTAGGAGAAACTGAGTAAAAGGTATACTGGAACGCTAATATTTTTTAACCTTTTCTATATGTCGAAAATCAGTTCAAAATAAGAGCTTAAAAAAAAAAAAAAACTGCTACTGACTTTTAAGGTTTCCCAGAAACAACTAAATATGGTTATAGGGTGAAATAAAGAGAGACAGAATATGGTCAAAACATATTACAAATTGTTCTAGAAAGTCCACTGGGGAAATGTCCTATTACACATTCGATTTGGCATAACAAACAGTTCTTTTGGCAGATAGCTGAACTCCTAAAAAGAAGTAGCTCAATCATGGAAAATAGCTGGGTAATCTATGTTAAATGTTGTCTTTCTAGTAAATAAACATGCATCCGAGAACCCATATATTCTAAACTATAGTAATGTTCCCCAATGAGATGAGAGGAAACCGTCATAAATTAATACAGAAAAAGACATTAAAAAAGAAGAAAAAAATTTAAATACAGAATAGTGGTGGAAAGTATGTTGGAGACTGGAAAGCAACAGGAAACAGAGGGACTGAGAATTTCTTTTCTTTTGAATGAGCTTACTCATCCCTAGTAATACAGCAGTACATTCCAAAAGACACGAAGCGACAAAAATCACACCGGGGTAGAAGTGCATTGAGCACCAAGACTCCCCAAGCATCCAGTGCCTCCCACTGTCTGCTCCGCGGTCCTGATAACCTATGAAAGGGCATGGCCTCTGTTGATGTACCCACCCAACCAAGCTGGTGGGTGATGCTCACTGACTGGCCTTTGTAGCACATCAGCAACCAGAATATTTGGAGTAATCCATGTGAAGTACATATGGAGAAATGAAGGAATTGGGGACTAAGGTCTGAGGTGTACGAGTCAGCAGCCACTCCTCAGCCCACTGGACTGATGGGCAGCAGAGCTGGTGCAGAAGAGGAAGAAAATTCACCACTCAGTGAAGGAGAAAGGCAGGCCGGGAGAGGAGAGGGAGACAGACAGGGTGGGAGTCAGAAATGTACACATGTGGCACAAATGCAATAAAAGCAGACCACAAAGGGGGACAGGAATGAAGAGATCACCCAAACGTCAGTGCTCAGTGAAGTCTAAAACTCAGCCCTCTATGGTTAGGGCTCTTTCCGCACCTTCGGATTGTCAATAATGGGGGTGACAACAAGATCTGAGTCTGTGTAGATAAGCTCTCTCATCCGGGACTCCAGGTCCTGCTGACTCAGGTGTCTGCTTGTACTCTGAAACAAGAACACAAATTNCTAGAATAAAAAAATTAAGATGTACATTTCATTCATGAAACAACACAGAGAGTGACCACGGAGTTAACATATCGGATCTATATACAACTGAAATGTGAATCCAGCACCAAGGAGATAATTATTTACAAAAATGCAAAAGCACTGAGTATACATGTATAAATAAAAACTAAGAACTGTACTTGCAGTTTCTCCTCCCCTAAATCTGTCCCACCCCTCATCCCACAAACACGTATCAAGTACCAATAAAGTAACCTTACTACTATCCTGAAAGTAAATGACTTAAAGTTTCAAGCCAGGACCCAAATGGGCCCACTAAGGCAAACACCTCGGACCACTGTAACTCCTTTCTGGGGATGACTTCACATTCCCCGCCAAACTCCCATGGTTTTACTGATGAACCAAGACAGTCTAAAAAATATTACCAGGGGAAAAAAGTCTTGGAGACCCCATGTCTCCCCCTCAGCGTCACATCAGAAACCCTGGCGTTTACCACGTGACCCAATAGAGGCGTGCCTACTCCACACGGGCAGCTCATTCCACCAGCTGATGAAAAGACCTCTGTCTTATGATTTCAGGTTTGAAAAATATCTTTTGTTTTTACAATGATTCCAAGTTAACATAAAATGCAAGCTAGGATATCACAAAAGAAGTTTAAAATCACTGTCTACTCAGCTGCTTTTAGACCTAAGGATTAACCAGAGGATAATTTGGGCAAACCTACGAGTATCATCTTGTAATTAAATTCTCATTGTAATTCAATCCATTTAATATGTTAGCCCTTGTTTTCATCTCTATGGCTATAGAAAAGCTACATGCAGACAGCATGCCGTAAGGACCATGAAAGGAGTCTGGATGTCACGACCTAACTACCTACCAGCGGGGAATGGAGCAGCCTGGTGGCCATCTCTCTGTGCCCGGCCACCACGCACAGATAGCAAAAGAGGTTCAGCTTGGCTCGCGAGGCCCCCGTGGTCTTCTCAGCGGAGTCGATCTGTGAGCACACTTGCTGTAAAAAGTCATTCCAATCCTGGTCTTTTAGCAAGACTAACTTATCCACTGGAGAGGAAAGAAAATATTAAAAGTGGGTCTCATGTGACAAAGGATTGTTGGAAATACTACAAGAGAAATCAAATGGAACGCAGTATTTCAACAGCTGAGGACAGAAATTGCGACTTCACAATGCCAAAACCAGAAAATGCTCCAAGGTTGGCACTATTTTTATTTAATTGTATACTCATTTCTTTTCCTACCTATGGAGACTTTTCAAGTATAGCAATAGAAAAATATGCTTAAAAAAAGGAAGTAGATGCTTAAAAGAGAATCATCCTGCAACTGAGAATATGACAAAATGCCAAGTTAAATAAAATTGTACTATGAAAAAATAAAAGGGTCTCTGTGTCAATAAAGCAATGTAGCCTTAAAATGTTGGAAAAGCCAAAAGTGTTACAGTTGTTAAAAGGTTCCAATGAAATTACCGTTAAACATAACCAGATTAATAACACAGCTGAAATCATCTGGGAGTCCTACCTCCAAATCCCTATGCAAACAAAAGACAAAACCTAGGAAAAGCGAGGCCATCCACAGTTAACATGGTTTCAGCTGATCTGCATCCTTAAACAAAATAAATTGTAATAATAATGTCCTAAAATATTATAGGATATTATAAAATAACTCAAAGTCAAAGAGGAAAGAAAAGGAAAATTATTTCAATATAATAATCCTCTAAGTTTTCATAAACAGTGGTTCTACTCGGCATAGTTTATTTAAATTTGAATATAGCTTATTTTTTAATTTACTTTTTTTTTTTAANAGAGGGGCGGCCGGTTAGCTCAGTTGGTTAGAGCGCAGTGTTCATAACACCAAGGTTGCCGGTTTGATCCCCGCATGGGCCACTGAGCTGTGCCCTCCACAACTAGATTGAAACAACTACGTGAATTGGAGCTGATGGGTCCTGGAAAAACACTGTTCCCCCAATAAAATAAATAAATAAATAAATAAATAAATAAATAAATAGACAGCACCTCTCTAAGAGTACTTTCTAGACAAACCAATGATAATCAAGGAAAATGACTTAATTGTAAATTTTGTAATTATAAATATAATTAAGAGAGGAACTTGCAATTATTCTTCTGAATCGCTATATATGTCATGTAAAAAAGGCCCTCCATCTCTGTTCACCTGGTTCAAAAGAGAAGCAGCCTTCTGTGGTGAATCTTGAGTCATATCCTCACCAGGACTTAATCTCACTGCAGTGCTGGTTCTTGGAGTCGGACGAGAACTGAAAGATACATCCCAGCGAGCATTATGCGTACGTATTTCAGAAATGTTATCCTCTGCTTGCTATATTCTGGGGAAAAAACACATCTCACGAAAATGGTAGAATATGATGGTTTTATGTATAAAAACTTTATATAAAAACAATTTAAACTTTAATTTATGTTTACATGACAGTATTATTTTTATAACTGTTTTTAAAGTAGTTTCCTGGCTACTGTGTTTCTTTACAGCTTCTATGCTATAGTCAGTATTTCCTGTTTTAACTAGAAACCTTAAAGGATTGATTTTATTATTTTTTAATTGCCTGCTGTTAAAAGCAGGGTTAACACCATAAAATATTCCACATTGGATGGATAATATTTACAATTTTAATTCAGAAAATGTTTTAAAATGGGAAATTATCTTGATACCTACTAAATAACAAGTTATAATGCATCTATTTTCAATGACTCATCCTACACTTACCAGTAACTGCCATATTCTCAATGGGCCACCCCATTACCCCTGGGTCTCTGGTTTTGATTGAGGTTTTTGCATTTTAAATTCTTGCACTGAGATCACCAGCATTTTTAATAAATTTCTTCAAATTCCCAAATATCAGGATTCTCACCTCTCTTTCACTTACTTATCTGTTTATCCATTCTTTAAATAAGTACTTACTTAGCTCACAAAATATGCCAGAGATTGCACAAAGTTTTTTTAAAAACCTACATTGAAAATGCCTAAGATATATATAGATAAATTTAACATACGCTACATTTAAATATGGGTAAAACAAATCAGGAAATTTTGGGTTATCATTATAACCCCTATGTCATTAAATAAAACTATTTCTCTATGAGACTAAAACTATAAATAAAATATAACACAATATTTACATATTATTGAAACTTTGAATACATTGGTCTTAATCACCTTAAAATACCATCCTAATCTTTTTATTATTTTGATGATTTGAGGATTATTTAAGCCTCCCATATAAAACAACATTTAAAGAAAAACACAACCTGTTCTTTTCTGTAAGTCTTTATCCAAATAAAGAAGCTGGACTTCTGAAATTTTAAATTCAATTCTATTTCAAGTGGAAGTACAAAATAAAGTAGTTTTAACCCTTTTGTTAGATAGAATAGATAACTTGGTTTGGTTAAAAAAATTTTAAACACATAGTAAAATCTACATTGAGCCAGCACTTAATAGTAACTCTGAAGCTCAGAAAATGAAGCTGGATTTTGGCATCCATATCCCTGTCCTTTATCTCTGTGTAAAATGGTTTTCCAGGAAGACAAGAGATGCTGTAAGAAGATTGAACACTCACGTTGCATGGATTGCTCACTGCCCTGTCATTTTTTACATACCTGAGAAGAAACATGGACTCATTCAGGTGACCCCCAAGAGTATTCTTTGGCCGCAATTCAGTTGGATTTTCTGGTGGCAGGAAAGAACATGATCATAAAGGAACAGAATGTCATGAGTAGAGCATAATGAAGTCAGAGATTTAAAGAGAAAGATAACACAAACGTGGAACTCTCAGAAACAGCATTCTAAGCAGCAAGAAGGTGCTCGAATGAAAGCTCACCTAGTCTGAAAGAGTGACTTAGCCGCTGACCACTCCTCTCCCCTTTTGCTTGTCCACTCTGAGGACTCTCCAAAAGCTGCTTGGAATCTTGTGACCCAGAACACTCCATCATGTTTCTGCTGTTCAACAGGAGAAGGTCAGCACAAAGTTACTTTTGAGCTATGTATAGTTTTCTATGTCGAACATAAAGTTGGAAAGGATTAATTAAATTATACATGACATGTGGCAAAGCCATGGAGTTATAAATTTTTTTCATTGAGTAGCTAAAATGAGCACTTACTATATGCAAGGCATTTTACTAAGAAGTCTATAAACCTTAACCTTGAAAAATAAATACGAGCAGGCAGACTGGGAAAGTAAGCCAGAGCTCCAAGTACCAGTAAACTAAAAGTTTCCCTTTTATTTTTTCCCTTCCAGTATTGGACTCAAAGGCATACTAGCAAATACAGACACAAGGAGCCCCAACAGAAACCCTCTATTTCTTTCCCAAGGAATAGGAAAGGGGACTCCTAAAGGTCAGAACAGGGGAAATCCTTAGATTTTCATTTTCTTTTTCCATTTTGTCCTGCCCCGGCCTCCAGGTAATCCTGCAGCAGCTCGTTGGGAACAGCAGCAGCTTCTGGCCAGTGCCTAAAACTCTGAGGGTGGGGCATCCTCTTCACCAACCAGAGAGCTATGAGCCCAAGAACGTGAGGCAAATACCTATTGCTCTGCTTTTTTTCCCCCTCTCTCACTCTCCTCCTGCCACTTGGCTGCAAACACATCCAGCAAGACATAAAAACTACAATATGCCATGACTAACTAAGTAGGGTTGATTGTGGGAATGCAAGGCTGGTTCAATATTTGAAAACCAGTTTATGTAAGAGTCCACAATGAGAGAATCTAAAGAAGAAAACCACAGGATCATATCAACTGATACGTAAAGGCATTTGGTAAAATTCAACATTCGTTCAAACTGAAAAAACAAAAAACCAGCTACATAAACCTCCAGCTCATCCTTCTTAATGGGGCAAGGCAGAACGCTTTCATCCTACAATCAGAAACCAGGCAAAGGATGTTCACTTCCATTACTCCTGAGTCAATACCTTACTGAAAAAAATCCCAGCAAGGGCAATAAGAAAAATAAAACACATCAAGATTAAAAGGGAGGTGACAAAAAGGTCAGAGGTGTTCTGTGACGTGCTGACACTGACGGCCCAGAGCCATTCTCTGCAGTGCCCACAGAGCCCCACACATTGGCGAGAGCATAGCTGAAGCTCACTGGATCAGAGAAACTCACGTTTGGGAAAGACTTCCAGTGGAATTCAGACTTCTCTATCCAACATTCTGAATTTGCCAAGATTAAAATTAAGACTCAGACAACCATTTACCACTGAATGAGTTGGGGGGGGAGTCAGTCGATTATCAGCACTTTACCTCTATTCAATTACTTCACCCCTTGTTCTTTTCCATATACCGCCACCTTTAGAAGTGCCCTGAGCTAGGAAAATTTTATAATCAAGTACATTAGTCAGGGTGAGCTAGGCTGTGCTGTGGGGACATACAATCCCCAAAGGCCAACGGCTCAGAATCTCATACCTTCATGTCTCACTCACGCACAGAGCCACAGAGGCTGGTAGGAAAGCTCTGCTCACTGCAGTCACTGAAGGCCCAGCCTGACAGCAACTCCACTGGGACATTTGCAAACCAATTACCTCATCAGGAGGAGAAGCGTGGCCAATCACACATGGGCTCTCAAAAGCTTCTATCCAGGGCCTGCCGAGTGGCGCGATGGTTAAGAGCTGGCTTGGGACGCCAGAGGTCCCCAGTTCGGATCCCACATATGAGGGCCAGTGACACTGCCCTCCACAGCTAAGATGCTGAACAACAGCTCAACCTGGAGCTGGGCTGCNATTAAAGACCTAAATGTAAGATCTAAGCATAGGCATAAATAAATCTTCATAACCTTGGAGTAGGCAATGGTTATGACACCAAAATAGTTATGACAACAACAGTTATGACACCAAAAGCACAAGCAACAATGCACAGAGAAAAGGTAAACTACATCAAGATTAAAACCTTTTGTGCTTCAAAGGACACTACCAAGAAAGTAAAAAAAAAAAGACAACCCACAGAATGAGAAAATGTTTACAAATTATATATCTAGAATATATAAAGAATACTACAACTCAATAACTGGGTAATAGGTGAGAATAGACATGCTTCCAAAGAAGATAAGCAAATAGCCAACAAGCACATGAAAATATGCTCAATATCAGTCATCAGGAAAATGCAACTCAAAACTACAATGAGATATCATTTCACACCCACTAGGATAGCTGTAATCAAAAATAGACAATGCAGCATTATTCACAATCACCAAAAGGTTGAAAGAACCCAAGTGTCCATCAAATGATGAATGAATAAACTGGTATATACACACCACAAAGTATTATTCAGCCTTAAAAAGGGATGAAATTCTGATACGTGCAACAACATTGATGGACTTTGAAGACGTTAAGTGAAATAAGCCAGATACAAAAGGCAAATACTGTATGATTCCACTTATATGAGGTTACTAGGCAAATTCATAGAGACAAAAAGTAGAATGGTGGTTATACCCATGCTGGGAGGGTGGGGAATGGGTAGTTACTGTTTAGTGAGTACAGAGTTTGTTTGGGATGATGAAGTAGTTCTGGAGACAGATAACCGTGATGGTGGCACAACAACATGAAACTTAATGCCACTGAACTGTAACATTTGAAAATGGTTAAGATGGTGTATTTTATGTAACATACATTTTACCATAACTAAAAAACAGAAAAACAGACAATATTAAGTTTTGGTGAGGATGTGTAAAAACAGGAACCCTCGTAGACTGCTGGTGAGAATGTAAAATGGTGCAGCTGCTTTGGAAAATAGTTTGGCAGTTCTTCAAAAGGTTAAGCACGGAGTTACCATATGATGCAACAATTCCACTCCTGAGGATATACAGAAAAATTAAAACACGCCCACACAAAGACATGTACGCCATGTTCACAACAGCATTCACAATGGCCAAAGGTGGAAACAATCCAAATGTGCATCGACTGATAGAAAAATACAATGTGAAATATACAACAGAATATTACTTGACAATCAAAAGGAACATAGTCCTAACACATGCTACAATTTGGATCAACCTTAAAAATATTATGCTAAGTGAAAAAAGCCTATCACAAAAGATCACACTGTACTATTCCCATTTAACCAAAATGTCCAGAATGGGTAACTTTTATAAAGACATACAGATTAGTGGTTGCCAAGGGCAAGAGGGGAGAGAAACTGGAGGAAAGAGGAAAGTGACTGCTAATGGGTGCAGGGTTTCTTTGTGGGATGATGTGAGTATTCTAAAATTGACAGTGGTAATGGTTGCCTAACATTGTGAATACGCTAAAAGCTTATTGTACACTTTAAGTGTGAGCAAATTACATGGTATATCAATTATATCTCAATAAAGCTGTTCTCAAAAAATATAGTAACTGGGCCGGCCGAGTGGCACGATGGTTAAGAACTGGCTTGAGATGCCAGAGGGCCCTGGTTTGGATCCCACATATGAGGGCCAGTGACACTGCCTTCTACAGCTAATATGCTGAACAACAGCTCGACCTGGAGCTGGGCTGCTGTGAGTCACTGGCGACGGCGTAGGCTGCATCCCCTGTGGCAGTGGGTTGCCATGGGCTACCCTGTGTGGCCAGCAGCCAGNAAAAAAAAAAGAGACTGAGCTAATGAGTAAGACACCCCTGAAAAAGGTCACCTATAGCAACATACCTCGGTTGCAATTCACAACACTTTCACAGTTTCATTTGACCTTCACAAAAATCCTAAATGTATGTATCATTAGTCCCAGTTTTACAGATGAAAAACAAAAAGCTCAGAGAAAGTCACTGACTTGCCCATGTTGACCACATAGGCTGGTTAGGACTAGGAAACTTCGTATAGAAAGGAAGTTTCTATAGGAGACTTCATATAGAAAGAGGTTCTAACCGAGGAGGCGGCAAGGTTGTTTTCAGTTACCGCCATGATTTTTAATCTTTCACCCACCGAACACTGGTCAATTTAACTCTGCTATACAGAATATTCAATATCAAGTTAAAATTACAGCATAAAAAATTTCAGGCTAAAGTGCTAACCTGTTCCCTCAATGTTAAACACCTGTATCTTTATAAAACCCAGTTAAACTAGAGTTGACACATGATGAAAATGAGTAACTAAATGTCTGCCATTAGTTATTCCTTCGAGATGTTTCTTTGTGCTCCACCCAAGCAGAACTTTTATTCCTGATGCTATGCTGTAGTAGTTTACATCAGACAAAAAAGAGGAGCTAGGCATTAATAACTTCCACTGAAACACTGATCAGCAAACTGAATAAAACAGAAAAGCAAAACAGTGATGTGAAAAACGAGGAAAAGAAATTATCCAAAACTGAGGAAGGGGCATGGATAAAGAAACAGAATAATTGGTTAATAAAATTGCTGGAAACCAAGACCACGCCTTTGCAACTTAACAGACATACAAAAACACATTAAGAATAAGTAAGGAGGAACTTTGCAAAAGGCTTTTTTTTCCCATTATGTAAAAGGTTTTTTTAAAAAATACATTTAAGAACATGAAATTTCAAGACAGAAAGACTTGAAAGAAAAGCCAAAATGAATCANGTTTTAGATTAACCTTTTATGAACCTACCTGAATGGGCCGGTAGATGCAATATTTTTGAATCAAATTTAATTGGTGGTTGTTTCATTATCTGCAATTAAAAAAAAGCAAAAACCTCTTGAGATGCACATCAGTCTCCTGATTCCCCTCCTGTGTCAGATTATAAATCAATGAGGACAAAAAAAGAGTGCTATAAAATTTGTCACCAAAAGAATAAGAATTCAATGGTGCCCTTTCAGATTAAAATAAACAAAATTGGATAACAACTTATAAAAATAAAATCATTTCAATTGATGTTTGCAATAAAATAAAGCTTCGCGGAAAAAGAGTCACCCTGTCTTGGCTTACTCATTAGCTAATTTACGTCTAGGTTAAAAATTTAGTCATTCAACAAAATATGTATTGGGTACCCACCAGAGTGAAGTACTATATTAAATGTTAAGGGGGATACAAAGATATAAAAAACATGATTCTGCTGTCAGAGAGCGGGATCTGACAGTAAGACAAACATCTGGTTAATAAGACAAACATTTGTTAAACAATAAAAAAACAAAATATGTAAGTAACAGTGCAAAACAGGCAGCACATAATTACAAACAAAACATTACATTTCGCAAGAGAAATTTTTTTTTAATACTTGAGACTGCAGCAAGCACTTTAGGCTGATGTGGTCAAGACAGGCTTTATGGAAGAGGTAGAAGGTGGGCTGAGGACTTAATGGTTAGGACTCGATGGTGGAATTAAAGAAGATACCGTTCCAGGAAGCTGTGACAGCCTGAATAGTAAAGTACATGTTTGGGAGAGGCGTTTTTTATTTTGTTTTTTGAGGAAAGTGAAGAAAACGTGTAACTGATCCAAGAGTTTGGAACAACTGGGGTACTTCANAAAAAAAAAAAAAAAAGCTTCTATCCAGAAATAACACATACCACTTCTGCTCGCATTTCATTAGCCAAAACAAGTCACATGACCACCCCTAACTTAAAAGGGGGAACTGAGATCCTACCACGAGTTTGCGAGGTGAAAAGCCACTTATATTTGGTGAACAGAACTAATGACTACCATACTAACTGCTGACTGGAGGATAAACAACTGACCAGAAAATGAACAAAATCAAGAACACAAAACATGTCACTGATGCTGCATTATTAGAATAGTAACGGAGTGTTTAATAACCATGTCCCCCACATGTGTAAGTTTATCCTACCTGACACTGGACTCCTCAGTGCTTGAGGCCTGGTCTTTCCTAGTGAACGCATCCTTCCAAAATGAATGCTGCAGTAGGCCTGCCCAGGTTAATCTGTATAAAACATACATGTTAAAATTTTACCATGGAGAATTCCAGAACATGTCCCAATTACACATATCAGAGCTGGCAATTTATAAATATCTCCATATAAATGTACCTCAGACTGTTTCATACTTGACTCATTTTAGTATGCAATTAAACTCTCTTAACAACAAATGACTCAAAAGTAATTTAGAACCCTGAAATGGTCCAGAATGAAAGGGGCTGACAAGTATCACAAGTTTCAGGATTCACATCCCATGGAGCCCGATGAAAACATTTGGGGTTCTCAAAACAGCCTATGAGGGAGCCTATAAAGAATTTAAAATTTTAAAGTAAATGTATCAGGTGTTATCTATCCATCTAGAATTGTCACCCTTCATGTCCCAAGAGAGGCTAGATTATTCTAGGTACCCTACCTATTACACACATTTCATTTTCACAACTTCATTTTTAGAACTTTGTTCAGAAATAAACAAAAAAACCAACTTCATAACTATACACAGTCACACCTCTGTTTAAGAGTCAAATGTTATCCTGCATAAAATGACTTTAGGCTACATCTAAAACCCAGACTCACTTTCAAAGCATTAAGTTTCACTACTAATAGATTATACCTCTAGGGACACTCATCAGACGCATCAGAAAGGATAGGCCTTGTTGAAATTTTTTAAAAATAATAATTTACATTTGATTCATTTAATCATTCTAAATTTCTGTATTGAAATGAAAACTACTTTGATCAAAATTCACACACTAATAATACAGAGAAAGAATCTGCAACCAAATACAACACCCCTTTTACACAAGGGCTCTTAAAATTCACGAGTGGAGAAATAAAAATTGTCACTAAAATGGAATTTCTTTTTCATCCATAAGATAGGCAGCAATTTATAACATCAGGAAAGCCCACCGTAGGTAATGGTGGTAAGGAAAGAGCTTTCTAACATTGCTGGAAGTGTAAACCAGCACGTGTTCCTAGAATGCAGCAAATGCACCAAACTTTTCAATGTTCTCAGCCTCTGGCCAGCAACGCCTCTTTGAGAAATTTATCCAAAAGAGATAATTGTCCGAGTGAACAACAACAACAAAAATACACAAAAGGCTAGTTACTGTGGCAATATATGATATTCTAAATCAAGAAGCACTCTAAAAAAAATAGGTTATCAAATGTACATTCTGTAGCCATTTAAAATGACTAAACAGATATATAGAGAGAAAAAACTATTTTATGGAGTGGTCCCATTTATGCAAAAAAAAAAAACATACAGGGATATAAATATGTGGAAACGTAGATATACCATCCTAAATTAATTAAGTATATTTATAGCCTAGCAAAAGATGTCTAGAAGTATCCACTAAAATAACACTAATCCTAAAAGCGTTCTATTATAAGCATAGGAGGTTTGTCCTACAACTTACACAAGAATCACCATTTCCTTCTGCAGGTTTCCTCTCATATTTAGAGAAGATAGAAAATTGATTCTCTTATATGCTACACTAAATTTATTAATCATTTAGCACCCTGAAACAGAGACCCCAAATACTGGCTCAAACGTCCCCCCGTTACCCCAATTCTGGTTAAGTGGCAGAACAGGAAGGAGAAACCAGCTACTCTTGTCTCCCAAGCCAGGGAAACCACCTCCACTCCCCCCTCCCCCATCCCATGCCACAATTTCTAACTACTGTCATCACTACAACACAGAAAATTCACACTGTGCCTATTATCCTGTCACTTGACAGTCCCAATATATGTCTAGACTATCATAAAAATATATCACATTAAAATATCACTCTGTTAGTGGTTATTACATTAACTATCTTCACAGTATCAACCCTACTTAATAGTTGGAAACAGTATTAGCCTGAAATCTACAATGGAAAGAAATCACTGCTGGGATTTGGGACTTACAAGAAAAATATGTCAACCTACGAGGCAACTAATAAATACATTGAGAAAATGACTTTAAAAATTCCTCATGGTTAGAAACACCTGCTGAGAGGAACTACTCAATATACTCAGATTTTGTGGGGGTTTTTTTAAAAAGTAATTTGAACAACTCTGTATATTAAGAACAGTAATATTTCAGAATTGCATGAAAGGAAAACAAGACTCCACTATTCATTCATATTAAAACACAATCCATACATACCTTTTCTGAGGATCTTTTTGAAGTAAACCATCAAGCAAATTAATAAGATCTGAAGAAGCTTTAGGAAGAGAAGAATCTATACACAAATTCCCAAAAAGAAAAAAAAAATGATAAGTACATGAATACACAGCCTACATCAACATTTAAAGTCACACTATTCTAAGCATATAAATTATTTTTAAGAGAACTCTGAATCTATTAATAACAATTACAGCCTCCATTTAATGAGGGGGGAAAGGGGGCACAAAAATAAAAAACAGTTTGCCTTAGACCATAAAAAACATGAACCTCAAAAACTAAGTTTCGACTAACCTCTAAAATTACTTTATTGAATGACCCCAGAAAGGACAGCCAGCCCGACAAACTCATGTCCTTGTCTTCAACTATTAATTATGCCTCATTTTCTGAGGTGATCTTAACTTGACTAACTTCGCTTTATAATATACTATGATTAGAATACTTGCAATCCCTCCTTTATTTTTAAGATTTTTAACAGGAAAATAATAAACATCACAATATTATGATACTGTCCAATTTCATTAACCTCCAAGTTTTGTCTTTTTAAGTTAGACAGATATATACCATGGCCAAATTACCAGTCACGGTTAAGAGAAGTGGCCATGAAAGCAAAGCCCAAAGACCTCGCCAAGCACCCCAAGTCAAAGCAGTCAAAACAGATGACACTGTCAGGCCCCTGACCCCCGTCTGATGAAGATCCCTGAGAAATAACTAGCTTGGGCTACCAGCAGTACCTTGACCAGATCCCTGACACCTTCATTCTCAGATTTCTCTTTCCTACATAAAAGTCTTTAACTTATAGGAGAAAACAATAATCAATATTGTATTTTAAAAAAAAACCCAAAAAAAAACAGAAGTCATCAACATAGGAAATAGGAATGACTGATTTCTACAAAAACTAAGACAAAGTTAATGAAAGATAAAAATCAGAAATGCAGCTTTTTGTTTTAAGCAGTACAGACTATTTTCAAAATATCAAGAGTTTTGGGGGTTTTTTTGGCTCAGATGATTCTTGAAATACTGAAATATTCTGTATTCCTATTTCTTTCATTAATCACCACAGAAAGTTTTATTCTTCTAAAAACTCACAACATTATTTTTTTGCAAAGTTCTGCTTTCATGTATGTGTCTTAAGATTCACTTTTTTGTGTGGTGTACTGCAAAGTATTTTATTATGCTTGTGCCTTCTTTTGTTTTTCTTTTCTTTCCTTAAAATTGTTAATGGTAGATTGTTATATTAATCACAATTTGTACGATTAATGTTCCAACATTTTTAAAATGCTACAGCTATATCTAGTTCAAAACACTTTAAAACTTGTCAGGGTAGTGTGATGATTCATCAAACATAAGGGCTGAGAAATTCTGATTTGCTCCTATTCAAACACTAACTAGAAATAACTACAAAGGACATGAGTCCAAATTAAGTAAATGGTACATACACAAAAAATAAATAAAAGTTTGAATTTTTTAAATCTTTAACCCAGACTTCTCTGATATAGGAGCACAAAATAATTTGTGTCTTTAAATGAGAAACTATTAGCAGTACTTCATTTTCCATTTCATTATCTCTATAAAAAAAATGGCAAAGGAAATGCTAACGTTTCTAAAAATATCAATTTGGGACTATTTATAAAATATAAATTGGAGGGTTAAGAATCAATAAAAATAGACTTTGGATAAAAGTATGCCTTTAGTGAGTGTAAAAAGTAAATTAACTGCATTTATAATTTTTAAAATCCTACCTTTTGGAATAGGTGGAAAAGGATCTTCATAAAAAATCTTGTCCATTAATTCTGAAACACTCTCTGAGAAGAATGGAGGTTTTCCTGAAATTACATGAAAAGTTGTCAAGTAAACAATATTTTGCTATCACCAATAATTCTAAACAAAGCTAAGTGTACATAGTTCAGGATTATACAATTTACAAAAAATATATATGTAGCAATAACTAATTATTGAATGCCTAGTACATACCAGGCATACTGTCTATAGATATATTTTTATATTCTGTAATTCAAAATTTGTCATCCTTATAAATATACAAATTCACATATGGACCATGACTAATGGTCAGAGGGTTCCATGGGCCACTTGACACATCTGAATTATTCAGTCACAAGTACCTTTTACAAGAGTGTCTACCAACAATCAGTTTTTGATAGTCACATTTTAACATTCAGATGAATTATTGTGAAAATACCTATATATCAAGAAGTTCCTAGGAACTTTGCCTAGACACCAAGCAATCTAGCCAAAATCAGTACACATAAAAATTTAGAAAAACCAGCTTTTTCACATCTTATAGGTAAAATGTTTGCAAATTACAGTTTTAACCTTTGTATTTATCCAGCTCTGATTTTAAATTGAACCAGAAAGTAATCACCTGAAAACATCTCATAAAGCAGACAGCCCAAAGACCAGAGGTCACTGGCGACGGAGAAGTCAGTACCCCTCACAATTTCTGGTGCTGTGTATATAAGCGATCCTAAAAATAAGGTGTAAAAAACAACTTTATTAGGCATTTATATAGTTCTCACCACAAACCTACCTAGGAGACACCTGACGAGGCGAAAAAATATGGGAGAAAAACATGCACATGAATATAACTTCACGTGTATTTCACATTTTTTTAAATGTTTTCTAATTTTAAGGTTCAATTTTATATAAGGATATGTAAGAATATAGACAGATATTGAAAATCCACCTGAGTTAGATTTAGGTACATTCTTTTTCAAAGTAACAATCTAAAAAGTCAAAAGAGAAGAACTTTTGCCTACACTATCTTGAACAGGATGTGTTAAGTTACGCAGCAGGAACAGCCCTATACTCCCACTGGCTTAACCACAAAGGCTTATTTATCACTCAGACTGAACGTCCACCACAGGTAGGGAGGGGGTCTGATGCTCAGTCACCGAAAGACCCAGGCTGAGAACAGGCTCCTTCTCCACACACGCATCCATCACCAAGGCAGAGGGAAAGCATGTGCAAATCGCACGCTGGCTCCTCAAATCCCCGCTTCAAAGGGACGCTCATCCCTTCTGCTCACACGCGGCTGGCCTTGGCGGGGGGAAGACACCATCCTACCAGGTACCCAGAAGACAACAGGAAATGATTAGCAAGCAGCACCAATGTGTCTCCCATATACTTCATCCACAGTTTAGTATTACACAGAAATACCAAATTCTAGAGCTAGAAAGCTCCCTTATTTACTGAGGAGAGAAACTGATGCTTAGAGAGGTACCCTAAGGTCCCTGAAGTCACACAGCTGGGCAGGTACAGAGCTCCCCGCAAAACCCAGGGTTCTCGCCTCTCCCTGGGGCATACACTTTCCACTCCCTAAAAGCCTCTCATCTTCCAATGAGAATGTTCTTTCCATGAAGTGAGTAATAACCAATTACTTGGAAAATAAAATCCCACTGAGGTAAACCTTCCAGCAAACTGTCTCACGGGGCCCATTACAGCCAGAGCGGCAGCCCCGTGGGTCCTGATGCATGGTTGTAAAGTTCTCCTATGCGACGTTTTTGCTATGCTATCCATTTCATACCATGGAGGGCCTATTTGTCTACACGTGGCTAGATGCTGGGGAAACAAAGGCCCCCAGAATGCCCAGGCACCCTGCCCAAAACTTAACAGGCGTTTCCTTAATATTTGTTGAATGTGAATTTTATGTCTTTGTCTTCCCTGACTAGAAATGTAAGTTCAGTGAGGTCAGGGATTTTTGCCTGTTTGTTCACATCCATATTCCCAATACCCAGAACATACCAAGATGTCTGTTGTATAAATGTTGAATTAATAAATACATTCAGTAATGAACAAATGACTATAAAGTCCTTACTGTCACAAGCAAATGGAAAGACAACCACAGAAAAGTAATTATTACATGGCAAATTCAATGACAGGTTTATGCACAGAATACTGCAGCAGTCATAGAAGAACCGACACTTAAGTATTTGCTCCAATAAAACCCTGCCAACCAGCGGGACAAAGACGGTTTCCTCCAGACAGCTGGCCCCAGGAAAGAAAAGGGAGGCACACTCCAGGAAAAAGGACTGCAGGAGAGCTGGACACGCTCAGGAAGCTGTAAACATGGCTGCTGGAGCAGAACACGGGCGGCAGGGACACTGGGAGAGCCGTGTTAGTCTGGGTCCTCAGAAAAGCAGACGCCAAGACAGGATTAGCCATGCAAGGATTTTATGACAGGGAACATCTGTGAGAAAAGAGGAGGGTGAGCTGGTCAGCCCACAGCGCACGTTGGACCCTGAGGGAAGAGAGAGGGAAGGAAGGTGGGGTGGCAATAGCCCAGATCCTATGCAGTATAAGGAAGGGCTCTTGACTTTTTCTGTCTGACTTATTTCACTTAACATAATCATCTCAAGATCCATCTATGTTGTCGCAAATGGCACTATTTCACCTTGTTTTATGGCAGAACAGTGTTTCATTGTGTATATATACCACATCTTCTTTACCCAATCATCTATAGAAAGACACACACAAGAAAGAGAGAGAGAGAG